TTAGATCAATATTATGCATTGATACTAAAAATCAATTAACTCCATAGGAATCAACGTGTTAATAATTTGAATAATCATATCTATACATATATAGATATATATATATGTAATATATACAATANATATAACAGCAATATTTTCAAAAATTATATTGAAAGGAATAGTTGATAATGCCCCACATATGCATAATACAAAACGAGCAATGCCAAATCGATGTAAAGAAAATGATTTAACTACACCAAAAATGTACATGTAAATATTCACTGCACCAATAAAGGCGCATAGAAAATTTATAATTGCAGGACAAGTAATGGGATAAAGTCCAGCTAATATGACATTTGAAGTAGACAAAGGCATTGTCACCCATGAGTAACAAGATATGCCTAAGAGTAATTTTTTATTTAATGGAATTGCTTTGGAATGTACAACAAGCAATATACCTTGTAGCCACCGTTTTCTTTGTTGTACAAAGTCCCATAACGTGAATGGTGATTTTTCCCACATTTCACCATCCACAAAATTAAACGTGTAACCTTGGGTAAATGCTTTCATTGCAAAAAAGCAATCTTCTGCAACAGATCCATCCAATCCATTGTTAAAAGAAACTTGTCTTTCCGCACTCATCTGCAATATTAACATGTTTTTCACTTCTCCTTTGTTAGAAAAAATATTTATTTAACAGTTACATGCCATTTAAGTTTGTGTATAATATGTAATGAATACCTGAGTAACAACATAAGACCCTTTCATACTGAAGAATGGTTTATGAAACATTGTGAATTGTAGCCTTAATTTTCCCATATCATCTGCTACTCTAAAGCTATCTGCTAATGTAGTAATCCAATTAACAACATCTTCATTTGCATATGTAATTAATCCTTGACCAAATTGATGTTTTCCATCCAATACAAAGTTTAATATACCACGAAGAGAATTTTCAGTCATAAGGGTTTCTTCATCAAGATGCACAATCCAATCATTATCTGCTAATTCATTCACTGATTTCTCTAAACAATATTGCAAAGCTCGTGCTTTGAATAAAGCGCCACTACTTGTGCAATAATTTGGTGGAACAACCACTTCTCTAATTCTTTGATGATGGGATAACCCAATTGGTTTATCAGTTACTACTTCAATTTGAAAGTTTTCTACACCAGTTTCTAAACATTTATTTAAATTTCTCATTACATTTTCTTGCACTAACTGAGGATAATCTCCTCGTGTTACCACTCTAATGCAAATGAATGGTGCAAGTAATGGTGAACCATTTAAGATAACTTTATCTGGGAATGCATTATAAATTGTCAATCCAATGAAATTAAATAAAACTTGAGGGAACGAAAGAAATGTAAGTGTTCGCAACAGATATAATGTAAGTGCACCAACAAATCCATACTGAACCCATGGATCTAAGTCTACATATTTATCACTGTTCCAGCAAACTCCACCAAAAATTAATTCAAAAGTAATTATAACAATGCATAGTAGAAAACAGTGTAAAATATGCTTGAGTATACTGTTCAACATTATTCCTGAAAAGTAT